CTCTCTCTCTCTCTCTCTCTCTCTCTCTCTCTCTCTCTCTCTCTCTCTCTCTCTCTCTCTCTCTCTCGATTGCTTTCCTTTTTGAACTGATAGTCATCGTTTTTTTTAGCCTCTCGCCCCCGTACCGGTGACGTCAACCGCTTGCATCCGCGCGGATGCTCGACGCCCCCGCAAGGGGAGAGAGCTTAGACTTCGTCGTCTTCCCTCGAYGCACCCACCTTAGAGAGAGAAGAGTTGCGACGATTGTTGTATGGATTCGGTGTTGGTTCGGATGACCGGGAACGCGGGACCTTGCCCGTGTTCATCACGTACCTCCGATCGTCTCATCTCGCTACCGACCTTCCCCATCGCAGATGACCACAGCGTCTATTGCGATGCGGACGTATGGCGCGCGCTGAGGCGGACAGAGCAAGTGTGTTGGCAAGACCCACCTCGGGCTTGTGAGATAAGGGGGAACGGGTTTATTTTGATTGATCGTTTTGATTCCCCGACTCTAATATTGCCTTATACGGGTTTGACGGTGTTGCCCTGGTCGGCCTCTCACGCCGTGTGGCGGCCGCTGTTTGATTGTCGCTGGTGTCGCCAGGGGGACTCGTGTTCTTGGCGACGGCTGGTCCTGGGTTACGAGGGAGCGACACATTTCCCCGAGCTTTCCCGTAGTGCGGGGGCGCTGCCCGCGCAATTTCGAATTCAGATGCCGGCGAGTCCTCCCGCCGCTTTACCCTCCCGGAAACTTTCGTGCGGACTCTGTGAGTCCGACGCCGAGGCTTCAAGGCCTCGAACCAACCACCTCCACAGCAAAGACCCGAGGGTTCGGCCACTTTGTGAGGCCGATGATGAGGCCTGAAGGCTTCAAACCCACCACTTATCCCCCAAACCCATGACGGCCGAAGTTTGGTCCTCCGCCGCCATGGCCCTCTCCCCTTGATGCCTTTTTCCGTCCCGATGCGTGACGGCAGTTTATTTTTGCGGAAACCTTTTTTGATTTTATCGTTTCGGAGTGATCCGACCCCCACGGGACTCCGCGATGACAGTTCGACTCCGGGGAAAACCTCTGGCACGAAACGAGGGCCTCCCGTTCCGTCCGGGAGAGTCAACCCTTACGACAAAAAATCCTCGGCTACGCCCCTCCTAGAACTCTGATCGGCGACCCCGTACGGGAAGCCGCGAGGGGGCGTGAGGTTGGTATCAGAGCTGATTCGTTTCGGCTCCGAGGTTTTCCTAGGACGATTACCCTGTTTTAAAGTTCTTCTTTTCCTTTTTTATCCTCTTATTAGTATTTTCGCATTTTTGAGTAGGTTGGCTCCCCGTTGACGGAGGCCCGCGAATAGCAATCAGAACCGAGTGAGAGGCCGGGGTCGAAACCCACCTCTCGCGATGGTGGAACCCGGAATTAGGGGTGAAAACGACGGTGACAACCACGCGGGGATGGCCAATCATCCCCTATACTTTGTACCTCCTCCTTCCGAAGTTCCCATTTTTTTCGAAGATGACACCGACCCTCGTACCTGGCTAGCGGCCTTGAAAGCCCAGGGCTGGTCGGATCAGTTGCTCCGAGAACGAATTCCCGAAAGGTTAGCCGGAACCGCTTTTGAGTGGTATGGACATAACCCCTTCACTAATTGGGCAGCCTTCCAGAGGAAATTTCTCGATAGATTTGATCACATCGCACCGGGTCAATGCCTCCGTTTAATAAAGGAGTACACGCAGCAGCCTCGAGAGACCTTGGCCAGATATGCTGAACGTTTTACGTACTTAGCCGAACGCTCCGGGGTGGGCGAGAAAATGGTGCGGACTGATTTCGTCAGAGGACTGTCTGATTCTCGTATGCGGAAAAAGATCCGCAAGAAATACAACCCTATAGAACATACCTTGAGGGAGCTAATTCAGTACGCAATTAAGTACGGGAAAGAAAATTACTATGTGGGCCTGGACTCAGAATCCGACGAAGATGACCCTTCGGGTGTTCGACGCAATAGCTACTCCGCTACGGCACGAATGTTCGAAGATCGCTTCGGGTTGGGTCCGGCAAAAAAAAGGCGTGGATCGGAAAGCTTCTTCCACTGCTTCGGCCTCCCGTCGCCCTAGTCAAGCACAAGGAGGCCGGGGTGAGGAAGAAGTGTCCATGAAGGAGGTCGCGACACAATTAGTTACGGTAGTGGCCCCGTTGACGGAGTTTGTTCAGGGCCTGCAGCGGCAACGCCTAGCCGGCGCACAAGCGGCTATGGCTGCCGGGGCCCCTATGATAAGACCGGTCGTGGCCGGGGCTGTCCAGTCCCTACGCTGTTATAACTGCAATCAGCCAGGTCACCTCACGAAAGATTGCCCGAAACCTCGAGCTCAGGGTGGGCCCGCTGGGCCTTCCCAAATCTCGTTGGCTGCTCCAACCGCTGCAGGACAGGGGAGGGTGGCCACGGTGATGGATACTGGAGCAACGGAAATGGTGACCCCTGCGGCCACAGAGATAGGGCCCGATGAATACATGGCTGCGGCGATGTTCGAACCCGGGACCATCGGAGTGATACGTCACGTCCAACAAATTACCGAG